TGATATCAAACTTTGCCATTTCACGTGCTTCAGTGTCATCTATTTTCAATTTCTATTGATCATGTCATTTAAGGTACTTGTTTGTATTCAGTCTCTAACGACCAGACTGAAAGCCGGCAGTTTAGCGTTTTATTAACTCAAATAACTATGTATTCTGATACATTCGGCTTGCTTCTTGTAGGCTGCAGTGCTTGCTGGGATCAATCGTAGGATGACGTCACGCGAGAACATCTGTAAGTATAATTGTTGCAAATCATTGCTCAGGAATCCCAAAAGCCTCTAGGAGTTAAGTTTGAATTTTATTCTGCTGTAGTCACCAGCAAACTATCACCGCTGACCGAAGAAACACCCTCGCGGCTCGTGTCACTKCAGAATTCACCGAGCAAGAGATCTCGCCTCACTCCATCTGTAGTCAACACGGTCATCGAAACCCATTCTCCTGATATCTCTCGGTAAGTTGTATTTTAACTAAAAATGGTGGAAACTAGCGGTGAACTACTTTGTAGTCGGTGKTTCTAAAGAAACAGTTGTGTAAAAAGAGTAAATTTAACCCCGTAAAAAATAGGTGAAACAAATTACTAACGTTTCAAACGTTAATCCTTGCTCTTAACTCCGACGAAGGATTRACGTCCGAAACGTCAGTAAGTTGTTTCACCTATTTTTTACGGTGTTAGATTTATCTTTTTACACAACTGTATTATAACTAAGCATGGTTCATAAAAGAAAGACAAGCAAAATGAATCATTTTTTTCTCTTCGCAGACCAAGTTCACCATTGAACATACCAAAACGTCAATCTCGGACAGTGTCACCCAATGACGGCACATTCTCCATGGAAACCTTACCCCCATCCACACCGGTCTTTTCRAAGACCCARAAGTTCACTGACCTGGCTGCTCGCAGACGCATGTTGATCGATGTGAATGCCGCTTCRAACAGCAGCCTGAGAAACGATGACGTATCATCTAAGATTTCTTCATTGGTGTCCGTGCGTGACTTAGAGCGTGAGACATTTCGTGACAGAGCCTTGGAGTCCAATCTGGGCGGGCAAAAATCRTCTGTGAAGGCATCACTTAGYATGACTGACCTGTCTGTCATCGATAAAAAAGCTATCGATGAGGTTTCTGTTGACTCRGTGCCGATAAYAAGAAGGAAATCGAAGAATTCAAAGGCTGAGCGTACAAAGACGCGTCTGACCAAAAGACAGAGGTCGGCATCACTCGATGACGTCAAAGTSCACAAAGGTAGRGTCTTTCGTTGGTAATTGACAATTATTGGGATRAAGGGCAAAWTAAATCTAAAGGAAAAACGATCTTATTATGTAAATGTTCAAAAATCTAGAAAATCATTACTATACACCCTTGTAATAAGTCCCGAGGTATTGTGTTCTCCGYACTTGACGTCAAATTTATTCTTTTGAATTTTTTTACRATACAAAAGGTGTATACTATACAGTTCTAATGAAGCAGTTGAGAGAATAAAGATGGAATTTTCACCATAAAAAGAGAGTATTTCTTTCTTCTATCGACGCTAAGCTTGTTTTGTCGAGGTGCACCATGGTATTGATGAATGCAGTCATGCTGTGTTCCAGGYTAAGAAACAGAAACCCCCCTGTAACAGGGCTGGATCCAGCTGGGTGCAGGGGGTGGGTACCCCCTCCTGAGTCCTTATGTAGTACACCTCTGCTCTATTGAGTGCCCTGCACCCTTCCCCGAAGAAAAATATGGATCTGCAGTTCTGTCGCATTCCAAAGGATGAACGTTTGAGGAAAACACAGGGAAAAATTATGAAGTTGGCAAAATTATTATKTCTAGACCATAAATTTAGCTTGTTTTTCGCAACCCGACACAACGTGACTTCACATCAGCACATTTTTCATTCCCATGGTGCATCTCGACGAACATCGTATGACGTCATAAGGGGAAAGGACGAATAATGAAACTATCTTAATTAATATTTCTTCACTTCTCAGCCAAGTCACGTCAATCTCGTAAAGGACAATTTCCCGACAGTACAAGAAACCGTACAAATAAACACCAGTCCTCAAACAAAATRCGTGAACGAGTCAGCCTGGTAACTGAAGATTCCAGTCCTTCGCATAACTTAAAATCAAAACGTTCACATGTACCCAAGCCCCATTACCCAACTCGACACAGGGAATCCACAAAGCAAAGAACGAAAATACAATACAATGAATTCCCAGACGGTAAGTATATATTTGTTTGTTGCTGTGTCTGTGAATCTTCTTTTTGTTTTTTTGTTTTTTTCTAGCTGTGAATGCTTTATATATTGTTCCTTTATAAAAACAGACGAAGGTATGCGCAGGATAACGAAAACAAAAGCGAGTAATAACGAAGTTATTCTGAATTACAGCTACACGGACTTATAAAGCGTTAGCATAGTGCCGTGAGCATCGTTCCGAGGCTAGTAGCCACAAAAAMGAGACATTTTGTTTTTATAGGCCGGATGCTCTCATTTTATGCGACGTGATATTTACAGGAAATCCCCACCTTAGTATTAGAATAATTATGGTTTGAAACCATTTYGGTCCAGTACACACAGTATTTTTTCATTTATTCTTCGCGAACTAAGGACGACTTTCCTATGCAATAGTCTCCTTCACGGTTCCCYGCGCCATCTTGAAAGGTAGCCGTGCCTTTACATCGAAGCGAGRCAACCGTTGAGCGTGCGATGATAGAGACCTGTGATTAATTGTAGTGTAGGTGTGAAAGAAGGTTTCTATCATTGCACGCTCAACGGTCGTCTCGATTCATGCAAAGGCACGGCTACCTTTCAAGATGGCGCAGGGAACCGCGAAGAAGACTATTAATACTATTGAATATAAAGATGGCCRCCATATTGTATTTTATATAAAAAATATGAATACTTGACCCTTTTATGGATGTCTGTTTTTCTTTCATCSCAGGTGAACTGCAGTCGTTCCGCTCCAACGYGACTCCACCGTCCACCATCCAACAACTTGGTACTCCACCCGGKAGAGGATTGACTGTTCAAAAGAGACACCGCGCTCCCCCAGAAATTACGGGCTCAGATTCCAACCAGTCTACACCTCGATTAAAACCTCGAAAGAACCACACGAWTGGCATTTCGGTKGACGGTCTTTCTGTCAGYGGTTTTGCCGTGAAGCCATCCAAACAGTACGGAAGTCGTAAATATTGAGAATGAATTGATCACGTGACAATTATTAGCCGCCATCTTGAATACTCCAGTTTCGAGTTCTCTTTTGTGCAAGCTTAGCTTCAATCAAGCATAAACTTTTATTGCCTTCTTTGTACACAGAGTGCTTGCATAAAATAGATTCTCTATTAAATAAAAAAATATATTATCGTATGAGGAATTGGCTGATCCCATTAAAGAGTGCTCAATACAGCCTTTTGCAAAAATTATGAGAATTGTTGAAATATCTAAATATCATAATATCAAGTGCATGATGGGTAATCACGGGCGATGCGCTTTGTCCCTTGTCTTTGTAGTTTAGTTTTTTTGGGCGGCGACGGACTTATCCATAGTTCTGAACCTTTCCTCGAGTCAACAATGAATTATTCTAACAAATCCGTGTGTTCGGGACAAAGGGCTTCGCGTGGGATTACCCATCATGCACTTGATATTATGATATTTAGATATTTCAACAATTCTCATAATTTTTGCAAAAGGCTGTATATATATATATATATATATATATATTATATCAAAGAGGCAATGCCTCTTTGATATGACATATATATAAAAAAATATATTACATACTTTCGAGGTTGAGGCTGCACAAATTAGATCTCGTAACTGGAGTATTCCATTCTTTCTTCAAAGTCACGGCTCATCGTTAAATAGCATTGCGTGACGATAAAAAGCATGGGCAATAATTTACCCTTCATTAACCCCACCCCTGCGAAAAGCATCAAAATAGCCGACTTGCGAATTACGCATCAATAGTCACATACAAAGGAATCAAGACGAGGCGCCGTGCTTTTTTGTGAAAAATCTATTGTCTTTAGCACGGCGCCTCGTCTTGATTCCTTTGTATGTGACTATTGATGCGTAATTCGCAAGTCGGCTATT